CACACAGACACACACACACACACACACAGACACACAAACACACACTCACACACTCACCTTCTCTCTGCAGGATCTGCCACTCTCCGGCCGCCCATGCTCTGCGTGAAGCGTACAGGATGGTGTAGCGTGTCACAGCGATGCTGAGCTCGTCAGGTGGTTTCCATGACACCAGCGCCGTGTCTCCTTCAATCAGAGTGACTTTCACTCCTACAGGAGCTCGAGTGGGAGCTGATCGGAGAACAGACAGACAAACAGACACCTGTCAATCAAAACCACTCAAAGCCTTCAGCAGAGAATAGAGACAGAAGCCCCTTCTTTTTCTCTGTATTCTACAGTATATACATATATATGTTTACCTTCAGGTAGCGGACCGTGTAGTTGACCATCTGTTCGCCGGTGAAAGCGGGTCGGGCCCAATGCAGGAACACAGAGGAGGAGGAGTTACTGTGGGTGTAAACGTGATGAGGCGGCGGAGGGGGCGGGACCAGACGATCACGGACCGCTGCAAACAAACATAAAAATATGTTTTAATGGTAATGCTTCTGAAAGAAGTCTGTTCTGCTCACCAAGGCTGAGTTTATTTGATTAAAAATACAGTAAAAATTTGAAATATTATTACAATTTAAAAGAACTGTTTTCTATGTGAATATATTGTAAAATGTAATTTATTCCTGTGAATTTTCAGCATCATTACTCCAGTCTTCAGTGTCACATGATCCTTCAGAAGTCATTCTAATATGCTGATTTGCTGCTCAAGAAACATTTCTGATAATTATTCAATGTTGAAAACAGCTGTGTTGCTTCATATATTTGTGGAAACGGTGATGCATTTTATTTTTCAGGATTCATAGATGAATAGAAAGTTCAAAAACACAGCATTTATTTGAAATAGAAATCTTGTCGGTCGCTAGACTCACAAACACATCCTGGTGTGCTGATAGTCTGGTCGGCCTGGTATCCTTCACCCATGAAACTGTAGGCCAAAAGTTTGACATGGTACTTCTTCCTGGGGTCTGTAATAAAGAGAGACGAGAAAAAAAATGCAAGTATAAAATTAGTTTCTACTGTATTTTTCAAATGGAACATATGGGTGTTCACATATACAGTGACAAATGAATTCATTTATAAAGAAAGTTGCTGATTTATGGCAAAAGCGACAAATACAAAAAAGAACAATACAAAAAAAGAAAGAAAAGTTTAACTTCATTATATTCATATGTATATATATGTATGTGTGTGTGTGAGTGCTGGGTAGTAACCGATTGCATGTAATCTTGATTACGTCATCAGGTTCCACTTGTAATTAAATCATATCACATTTTAAAAGATTTGTAATCAGACTAGTTACTACATTTTTATTCACATGGTCACATAACATGCAGGTAAACAGGTATAATATTTCATATTTTTTATTAAGAGTTTAAAAAAATAAGCAATTTAAAAAAAAATTATGATTTATTTAATTATTAGCTTTTCATTAAACTCACTAACTGCAGTTTGGGAAACTTTAATGTAATATAATATTTAATGCACTTCATGTTGTTAATAACAATGAATGGAAAATTATATTTTCTTTCTTTTTGTATTTTTATATCAATGTATTACAAGATGATCCTGTTTAAATCTATGTGATAAACAAGTTAGATCAAAAGTAATCTAAAAGTAATCAAAAAGTAGTCAGATTATATTACCTGAAATGTGTAATGTAGTGGATTGCGTTACTAACTACAAATTATTTCATTTAATTTTGGAATCAGTAACTGACATCAATTTGTATGTAAATCTACCCAGCACAGTATGTACATTTATATATATATATCAAGCTTCATATGATATATATGTATGCATGTATGTATATATATAAAGATTATATATATATATATATACACTGAACAAAATTATAAACGCAACACTTTTGTTTATGCCCCCATTTTTCATGAGCTGAATTCAAAGATCTAAGACTTTTTCTATGTACACAAAAGGCCTATTTCTCTCAAATATTGTTCACAAATCTGTCTAAATCTTTGTTAGTGAGCACTTCTCCTTTGCCGAGATAATCCATCCACCTCACAGGTGTGGCATATCAAGATGCTGATTAGACAGCATGATTATTGCACAGGTGTGCCTTAGGCTGGCCACAATAAAAGGCCACTCTAAAATGTGCAGTTTTAGTATTGGAGGATCTGGGGGGGTCCGAAAACCAGTCAGTATCAGGTGTGACCACTCTTAGATCTTTGAGTTCAGCTCATGAAAAATGGGGGCAAAAACAAAAGTGTTGCGTTTATAATTTTGTTCAGTGTATATACAGTATATATATATATATATATATATATATATAATCTTTATATATACATACATGCATACATATATATCATATGAAGCTTGACAGTTTATGAAATGATGCATTATGTCTGCTACAACTGAAACACAAACACTTTCCCCTCCAGAAAATGCATTTTTTTGTGGCAACAATATAGATTTCTTGTCAAAATAGAATGGCATTTTATTTCTTCCTGTAAAGCATGTAATCTGTGCTCAGATTTTAAAAAGCTTTGGTCAGTTAATGTGTGTATGGGGCATAAGAGAATGTGTGTGTGTGTGTGTGTGTGTGTGTGTGTGTGTGTGTAACAGCAGATGTATATGGTCAGCGGATGTGTGTGTGTGTGTGTGTGTGTATATTAGATAGCGGTGCCGTGTGTGTAGCGCGTGTGCATGTGTCTCTAATCATCAGCAGATGCCCAGAGCTGGAGGTGTTGGTCAGTGAGTTTGCGCTCAATCCTCCAGCTGGTCAACACAAAAGACGAGTGTCCATCCCCCGTTCAGTTCATCCACCCGTCATCCATCTGCTTCACCCCCTCACTTACTGACCACTGACCAGCGGCCACATCCCATTCACAACCAGACCACAGAGGTTAAATCAGAGACCCAAAGGCCATGGGAAACAGACACACACACACACACACACAGAGGTCAGCCACGTGACCAAAACCACGACCTCAAGCATCATAAAGGGACCTCGGACTGACAGAAAAATTGATAACTGATCAGAAACTGATCATCTGGGCTCAGATATTCAAATGAAATTCATAGGAAGCATTATTAAAAATTACAATAACAAAACTCTAAAAGTTACTGTCCAAGTATTTTTTTTGCATTAATTAGACAACATATAAAAATTATTTTATAGATATGCCAAATAGGCCATTTTTAGTCAAGGAAATATTATTTAATAGACTGTATAGCATAACAAGAATAAACTACAGATTTGAACACAAAACATAATCTTAAACATCCTGATAAACATGCTAATATGCACATTTAAAATCAAAAAAATTTGTATTTGTTATTTTTTATAATGATTTTATTTATAAATATATATTTTGTGATTTTACAGTGATATGTCAGCAACAGACATGGTTTCTATCGAGTAAATAGTCAAGGTGTGAACATTTTACTCACTGAAACTAACAAGTTGCTGCAGTTTCCATACTGTCCTGTAGTACTGACTTTGGTCACATGGTGGCGCTACACGAGACTGACATTACTGAACATGTTCTGAGCTTCAGATCCTACAACTAAACCAATCCTGAGAGTCTGTAACTGTGCAGCTGACACATAACATGGACATGAATGTTTTCAACAATAAGGGTAAAAATGTACATTTACACTAATATACTACATATATGTGTATCTATAGTGTATATTTGTGTATATTTGTGATTCTGTAAAGTTTTTCACTATTTCATATTTTTTTTAGCTTTTGTGCTACTCATTTTAACAGTACTGCGGTGTGAAAAATCAATTATTAAAAGTACAAATATTCCATGAGTCTGTATTATTTTAGTATTATTGATATACTACTACAGCTTTTGTAATAGTATGTTGTAATAGTAATTAGATGTTATTTTTATTTTCAATTTTCACTTTAATTTTAGTTAAAGTTTTAGTCATTTTGTTGTGTTTTTGTTATGTGTCTTTTATTATATATATTTTTTTAAATGTCTATATAGTTTTATTAATTTTTATGTATTCGTTTTAGTTCATTTAGTTTGAGATATTTTAGTATTTTAAGTTAAGCTAAACAAACATGAGAAATGTCTCCTTGGCAACTAGTTGAAATAAGTTTATAATATAATATTATAATATAATAATATTTCAGTTAAGATTAATTTTATTTCAAGTAATTTAACGTTTTTTTTGATGGTTTTAGTTTTACTTTAGTATAATAACCCTGCTATGAGTCAGTGTTACATTTTAATTTTAGTTTAAGTAGTTTTGATATGTATTTTTGTCTTTTTTATATTTCATATATATATATATATATATATATTATAAACACACACACACACACACTTCTACTTAGTTTTAATTATTTTTTACTTCAGTTTTAGTTTTTCGTTTTAGTACTTCAACATTTCAAATGTTCAGAAATTTTAATTCAAGTTTTTTAAGCTTATGTTTTTCATCTAATATTTATATTTCATTTTATTTCAGTTTTATTTCAATTAAAACGTTTTTTAATAGTTTCAGCTTTAGTTAACAAGAACAACACTGCCATCATGTGCCATGAGTTAATATGAGGTCATGAAAACTAAATGCATAATAAACAAAAAAAATTTGTCAACTGCCCAATTACTGTTACAGAGAAAACAATGAGCGCACTGATAAACTATGATCAGACTGAGGGTTAAAGGCCTAGATATGGATCTCAGACAGATGAAGCATTAGATAATCACTGATATCGGCAGAATGGTGAATCTGATCACTATCAGTCAGACTGATCGATGCACACATGACATCACTGCCACTGAGATCTGGATCTATAGAGCGGGGTTTGAGGGGGCGGGGCCAAACCCAGCAGTCCTGTCCTGATTGGACGGTTCGGTAAGGAAGGTGTGGCTCTGAGATCCACAACTCTGAAGAGGCTCCGTGGAGCCGGTCAGGGGTCAAAGTTCACACACAGATAAAACTCCTTAGGAATCTGGAGTCAGAGGTCAGGGACACAAGACAGGCCTCTTTCTCCAGGCCATCAGCATTCAGAGAGAGATAAAGAAAGTATTTGGACGGGGAACAACACACAAAACACACTTTAAATAGCATGGAGAGTAAGACGTGCATGAGTCCACAAACAATAATTAGCTAAATAAAATAAACGAATACATTTTAAATAATGTTTTTTTTTCACTCAAATCTATCTATCTATCTATCTATCTATCTATCAATTGTAATATATATATATATATATAAATTGTAAAAATAAAAATGTCAAACTAAAGCAGGTCAGATATGCTGAAAAAATGTTTAATTAAAAAAAAAATTTTGATTCCATTTCTGCTAAGAAATAAGCACTTCAGTCATTAAATATTTGCATGGTAAATCTTTAAAGCCGAATTCATCCGATATCATTACATGTGACGTTATGGTGCCTTGGAAGTCTGTCTGAAACCAGGAGGTATCAAAATGCTGCCTGTTAAGTCTCTGACATTCGGTTTGGTACACAGCCGATGCAAAAGAGCACGTACTCAAGAGAAACACCTCGAACCCTAAACCCCAAATCCACCCTGAACAACAGCCTCCCTACGGTACAATAGCCTGGAGATATTAACCACACACTGAGAGAAGGGGACATCTGACCTCTGACCTCTGACATGGAATCTGGGCAAGTCAAATCCTGTCGAGAGGGTCAGGGAGCAGCGCACATGCAGGACAGAACGTACAAAAAAAATCAGCAAAAGTTTTTGAAATATGCAAGGTATCTTACCTCACTATAATGTAAAGGAAGTATTAATTTTGATAAGTTTCAAACTGATATTATGAGGGGAAAAAATATTTCAAAATATAATATTTTAATTTGATTGATCTTGCCTAGGCCACGCCCCCCGCAATACCTCTACTTCCCACCAGGGGGCTGTGGCACACAGTTTGGGAAGTTTGATCACATCACTAACACTAACTTTGAGCCATAGTAAGAACTAGGCTACTAATAAACAGCTATAGTTCTGAAGTGTATCAGGATTGTTTCTGAGTGTCTTCAGAGACCAAAAAGTATGAAGAAATCATGAAATATAGACAAATATCATCATATGTACAAAATATATCTACAAAAATAAACTACATTTTTTCAGTTTCTGGCAAAAGCTTAAATATTTGTATCCTACCTCGATAAAATTAAAATACATATTTATTAGAAATATATATAAATATCTATTATGGAATATCTACAGTAATAAACTAGATTTTTACCATTTCTGAAGAAACGTGCAAAACTTACCATCATGATGCTCGAGTACTGATTGCACTGCATCATTTTATGTATTTTTTATTTTCTAATTTTCAATATATTCAATATAAAGCACTTTGAATTACCATTATGTATGAAATAATGTGCTATATGAATAAACTTGCTTTGCATTGCCTAGAGCGTTGTGGATGGTTTCCGGGCGTTGCTATGGGGTTGCTAAGGTGTTCTAAGTGCTTTTATTCAAGTTGCTATGCAGTTGCTAGGGTGCTGACTTTGTAAACACCACTACCAACAAATCTCCACTAATTGAAAATCTCCACTGAGCCAACTGTAGAAAATCAATATAGAAAATGCCCATCCGCTGTTCTGAGGTCAGCTCTCATGGATATTACAGCCGAGCTAAATGAACGAGCCTGTTTTAATTAAAGAGTGAGCGTTAGAGGCCGTAACCCTCAGACCTCACACTAAATATCACGAATGACGCGCGCCGGAGGAAAAAACGAGCAGAAGCATCATGTACAACACGCTCGACAGCATCTGTAACATGATGTTACCACAGAATCTAATTTCGTTTCTCAGTTTTACAATGGAAGTCTATGGGGTCAGGGTTCCTGAGGGTTTAAAAGCAGAAATGTGAAGCTTGCATCATGAATCATGTGAAAGTTACCAGGTTTACTTGCTTTAAATGGTCATCATCAGTTGTGTGTGTGTGTGTGTGTGTGTGTGTTTGTTTGGTTGGGGGTGTTAGAGCTTTGTATGAGGATCTTTGAAGTGAAGCTCGTCCCACATTCTGTCCCCCTACAGACATAAAACACGCCATAAACCTCCCAATGCTTTCTCTCCTAATGCTCTCTGCTCCTCTTTTCACCTCCCCTGGACTGATAAACCATAAACGCTCCCTGAGAGGTGTCTCAACTCTAATGAATAGAGTTCAGCTCCTTCACATCTCTCTGAATACAGCATGAAGGTTGAATTACAGCTTAAACTACATCCACAGTAACGGCAAATTTCGACTCGTTTCTGTTTGTAAAAAACCAACAACAAACAAGTTGACAATTGTGTACTTACAATGTCTTGCAAAGTCTATTTGGCAATTGCATCATAGCATGGAGAATTCATTAAAGAGATCTCTATAATATTTCAATCGTTCAACTACACATAAAAAGGTTAATTCTCAGTATTTTTGTCTTGTCAAGAAAAGATGTTTGTCTTGTCAATCAAGATGTTTCCCTGAGATGCAAAATTACATAAGATACTAAGTCTTGTTTTCAGAAAAATGAATAAATCAACAATTATGCTTAAAACAAGAAAAAAAAACGTTCAATGGGGTCAGAAAAATAAACTTAATTCAAAGGGAAAACAAGATTATTTTTCTTACCCCATTGACAGATATATAAGCCAAAACTTACTTAAATTTGATTTAAAAAAAAATATTTTTAGGTCATTTTGTATCTTAACATTTTGCATTATGCAAATAAACTATGAATAAATTAAGAATGTTTAGATGTTTGTAATGGAAAACAACAAATATACCAAGTAAAAAATATATTTTTTGTATTTTATGTAGTTCTCGGTTATGTTTCATTTAAGTATGCACTTTGTCTCAGATTATCTCTTAAAATCAGACACAATTGAGTCACTAGTTGTCATCCAGTAAAAGTAAAGAGCTATAAAATGAATATGGAGCAGCTCAGATCATTTGATGAGAAATGTATAAGCTCATATTAAAATCTCTGACTTGGTTGCAGAATCTGAGCACAGTTTGAGGCATTTTGGGATCTTTTCTAAAACACGTGTGAGATTACTGGGGGTTTTCTGAAATCCTTAAGCAAAAGTCTCTATTTGCTCTGCATTTAACCTCAGTGCTGTCTCTAGATGAAGCAATTGAGATATTTGGCCACCTACATTAAAATAAATTCCTATCAGTAATTTCATATAATACTTATGCAAATATTATGTCCAGTTCTGTCTGATTTGAATATCAGCTGGCTGACCTCTCTATGGCCACAGATGGCCACTGGTCAAGCAAAGCATTGTGGGACAGCATTCATGACCACCACTGAATTACAGGCCTGGATGAGAGTGACCTTTAGGGGCACGAGAGGGCGAGCACACCACAAACGTGCAACGCCCTCCTCCAGAGGCTCATGGGAAGATCAACACTGACCAGCACTTAGGCACTGGTCTGGCAGGGTCAGAGGTCAGAGGCCAGAGGGGGGAAGGTGACTGGGAGTTTAGGGAGGAGAGCCACAAATCTCCATATCTGAAAAAGACTTCAGTGCTTTTGTTCTTGGCAAACCACTGGCCTGTTCATTTAGAGACTCTGGATGAAGCAATGAACAGGCAGATGTGAGTCTTTGAGTGTATAGCATCACATCTTGCTGTTTTTCAGCATAAATCTCGCACTTTTAAGTGTATCAAAACTACAAATAGTTAAACTCCAGTTTAGCTCCAACACAAATGGAAGTTGAATTAAATTGACAGGAAAAGGAAATTACTGAAATGCAATTCAAATTTCATCTATCTATCTATCCATCCATCCATCCATCCATCCATCCATCATCCATCCATCCATCCATCTATCCATCCATCCATCCATCCATCCATCCATCCATCCATCCATCCATCCATCCATCTATCTATCTATCTACTTTTTAAAGTTTTTTTCAAATCTTTCAAACAAACCTGAATTAAAATTTCTTTGAATTTCACTTCATTTTTATTTTACTTTCCGATATTCAAATTTGAATTGCAATTCCACATCCTCAATTCAAATTCAATTCAAATTCAGAAACTGATTTTTTCCCCAGTTCTGAACAGCACGTAATTCTGCTCCATTCAGTGTTGAACGCTGGACTGAAAGTGGCATGTTCAGTGTTCACACAAACTAACATCCCACTCTAACCAATCAGACTCCCAAACCGCCACTACAACAAACAAGGCACATTAAAAAAAAGATTCCCCATTTCGGCACATCTGCACACAGCTGCTGGATTTCATTGGGTGTCTGGAAGTCACTAGCACTCACCCAGGCCTCCAATGGTGTGCTGGCGGAGGTGTGGGGGAATCTGGGTCGGCGGTCCTTCTGGTTCGCTCTCTTCATGGTAGGAAAGTTTGAAGCCCTGCAGTCCAGTGCCGCTGCCCGCTGGGAGATGCCAACGCAACACCACAGTCGTGCAGTTCAGAGACTCCAGCTGCAGCTCTGGTGCCAGGGGCACTGTGGGAGAAAATACACAGACAATCAGAAACACATCTTCATATAACTTGTGCATGAAAAATTATAGAATGCATGTTGAGTTGAGTGTCATTAAAACGTCTTTCTCTTCTCAGACTACAAAACGTGGTAAGTTTAGACTGCACGGTTAAACGGTTCATACCTGATAGAAAACATAAAAAATTTCACTACAGACCCCACCAGCCCTGTAACCTCAGGAGAACAAATCTTCAAGATTTAGCGGCCACAACTGCTGCTATGAATCTCTCGAGTCCAGATGAGACGGGACCTCACAGGAACACCGCTGGGGTTAAATCAATCCTAGCTTAATTAAACACACTCCCGCAGAGTTTCCTGTGGTTCTGCTGTATCTTTGTAGGCATTCAATTTAACCGTAGTAATCTAACAGAGTGGGTTCCAGTAGATCACAGGTGACAGAGTTTCATATGTGAGCTGAGGCTTACAGTGGGACTGGAAGATCTGTAGAGGCCTGCGGCTCTCGCTTTATAACCCATGACTAAAAGCTTTCCCATGTGGATGAGAAGAAGGGTCAAAGGTCATGCAGGAACAAATGCAATGCCTTAACAAGATTATCAGCCCAAAGCAAAGAGAAAGAGATCTTTTCAAAGCATGTGTTGCAGGTTTTACAATTTTGCACTTACATACAGATATCAGAAGATTCACATCTAAACAGTCCAAATAATCAACACCAACTTGGATTAGACCATTTATAGCACATTACTAGAAGATAGAAAGAACGATAGAACGATAGATAGACAGACAGACAGACAGACAGACAGATAGATAGATAGATAGATAGATAGATGTTCCACCTTTAGTGCTGGAAGCCTTCGGTGTCTTGTGGGACGTCCAGGCCGATGGTTCTCCCCATCCCACACTGGTTGCTGTAGCGATGCGGAGCAGATACGTGGTGTCGGGCTGAAGACCCTCCAGGAGGTGATGGGTTTTGTGTCCTGAGAGCTCCAGCTGTGTCACTGCCCCGTCTGTGCTGGTCCTGTACGAGAGGCGGTACGCAGAGACACGACCGCGACTCAGCTTATGAGACAGAGGCTGCCACGACACCTGGATATCAGAGGGACTGCGGCTGGTGAGGCTCAACTCAGGAGCACACAAGGGAACTGAGCCAGAGAGAGACAGAAACGAGAAATAACATTTAATTCATGACAGATAGTACTTATGAATATCACAGACTCTTGATAAGCAATTGTTTTGGTACAAGATACTTTGACTAGCATTATGAGTGGATCTCAGGGGAAAATAAAATTATATAATGCATACAACAATATAAAGTTGCATCTTTTCTTAAAGGCAGATAATTAATCTCACTCAGCTCGATCATAAATAAAATGGAGTGAATGGGTGCCGTCAGAATGAGAGTCCAAACAGCTGATAAAAACATCACAATAATCCACAAGTAACCCACACCACTCCAGTCCATCAGTTAACATCTTCAGTAGACAAAAGCTGCACGTTTGTGATTTGTACATATTTCTCTCATGATTCAGATGAGACGACTTTTTCACTGGAGAAAGCGTTATTATGGATAGAGCAGAAAAGCAAGATTGAAGTAAAAAAAACTTCTTGATGTATTTGTTTCATTCAAACACGCAGCTTTTGTCTTCTCAGGACATTAACTGATGGACTGGAGTGGTGTGGGTTACTTGTGGATTATTGTGATGTTTTTATCAGCTGTTTGGACTCTCATTCTGACGGCACCCATTCACTGCAGAGCATCCATTGCTGAGCAAGTGATGCAATGCTACATTTCTCCAAATCTGTTTAGATGAAGAAACTTTTTAATTTTAATTTTTGGGTGAACTATTTCTTCAATAGAACACAGCAACGTTTGGACACATCCTCATCCTCTACTCACCGTCCTCGAGTGTCCACTGTATGACATGGTCAGACATGCGACTGGCACCCATTGGCATGTACGCTACGATGTAGAAAGTGTAGTTCCGCCCCGCCTCTAGCTCATCAATGATGTAGCGGGTGGTATCGTTACCGATAACAATCTGGTACTCTTCGTTATTTAGACCTGTTGGGACATGACAAGCCTCAAAGTCCTCATGAAATCAAAAGTCGGCAGTAAAGTTGGCAGCAACTTCCAGTTCAAATGGACTTTAATGTTTCACAATATCTGGAAAGCATGACAAATTCAGCTACATTGCTACACTTTGCAATGCCAAGGTCAATGCTTCGATTCCTAGGGAAAGTATGAACTCATAAAATGCATTCTTTGAATGCAATGTAAGTCGCTTTGAATAAAAGCATCTGCCAAATGCATAAATGTATCATGCACAAAATTCTATCTAATAATGCACAGAAACTAAATTACCCAAAATGAAAAAAATGGTGTAGAATTTACTTTGAAACCATTTTCACACATAAATTGCTGGTAAATTTCACACGTAATTACAAAGGAATGGCAGTTAACACATTGAATTAAACATGAAATTCAGACTGAAATAGTATTTTCTTGTAAAACATACTCTAATAAATTTTGTTTTCATTTTTACAGTCCAGAGGAAAGTTCTATTGTCCCAAATGCATGCTCCTTATCCTTTATCAATCGAAATACATGAAGTCTACTAGTATGTGTGGCAATTCAAAAACCAGTGCCAGTATAAAAAGAAACATGTCAACTCAATCAACACGGCCATGCCTTCTTTTAATTAACCACTTTATCAATGCAACTAAAGGCAAATTCCACCTGCTGGTTTTCCCACAAGTCCACTGCACCTGAAAACACTTTAATTAGCCCACATTATGATGCTCAAATAAAAGAAACACTATACAGCATTGAGGCCCCAACTGAATATCTGACCCAATAAACAAGATACTCCACAGTCAACAGAAAAGGCCTTGTTCTGGCGCTGAATGGCCACGCTGAAGACTTTGACTCTGACGCACAGGGACAAACCCCCCAAAGCCTCTTCAGAGTTAGATTAAGACACTCCAACACTCGGGATAATTAGCCCCCTTTTGCACCCCTTTCAATCACTTCCGATGCTTTTTGCCCTCCAGAGCAGATGCAGTGTGGATTCTTTCTCTACAGCTATTCTTCTCCCACTAAATGGCCTGGAATTCTGGAAGTCCAAGTGCAACCGGCAAAATCCCTAATAAACATTTCACACTTGTCAGAACAGTTCCTGTTGGACATCTCATTGTTTTCTCTTCCTTATCTTCTCACAAGCAGGCAGGTGTTTTATTTGGACGTCTTTATCAAAAGCTAAAAGAATATCAATGCATTTAAATTGCGAGCAATTTATTGAACTAAACCAATTATCCTTGACATTTTTGTCCAGAAGTGACCATTTTTTTTCAACAACAGAAACTACTCAAAGAGTACTCAACTAGTCAACCAGCTGTCATGAACAGAGCAAGAGCATTTACCACACAAAGTCATGAATATTTATAAATTAAAGGAATAGTCTGGCAAGAATGAAAATTTGCTTAAGATTTACTCACCCTCAGGCCATCCAAGATGTAGATGAGTTTGTTTCTTCATCAGATTTGGAGAAATGTAGCATTGCATCTCTTGCTCTGCAGTGAATGGGTGCCGTCAGAATGAGAGTCCAAACAGCTGATAAAAACATCACAATAATCCACAAGTAATCCACACCACTCCAGTCCAGCAGTTAACATCTGGAGAAGCGTGTTTGTAATAAACAAGTTTTTAACTTTAAAATGTTGCTTCTGGCTAAAATATGAGTTTATAATCCATAATAACGCTTCCTCCAGTGAAAAAGTCCATCTCCTCTTGTCCTCTCACATCAAAATGTTTGTTTAGAACTGTTCTTGACTGTTTTGGCTTGTAAACGGTGCTTGATCTGTGCAGATTTTTCTCCTGATTCAGACACGATGAATTTTTCACTGGAGGAAGCGTTTTATGGATAACAGACTCATATATTAGCCAGAAGCAACGGTTTGAAGTTAAAAACATAATAATGATGGATTTGTTTCAGCTTTTTGCTTCTCAAGACATTAACTGATGGACTGGAGTGCTGTGGATTACTTGTGGATTATTGTGATGTTTTTATCAGCTGTTTGGACTCTCATTCTGACGGCACCCATTCACTGCTGAGCAAGTGATGCAATGCTACATTTCTCCAAATCTGATGACGAAACAAACTCATCTACATCTCGGATTGCCTGAGGGTGAGCACATTTTCAGCAAATTTTCATTTTTGGGTGAACTGTTTCTTTAATTGGGTTCTTGTGCATTTTCACCACTGTCCGCTCCATATTTCTCTGTTTACATCTGAGACACTCACCTTCTGCCTTCATGTAGTGTACAGAGTAGGCGATGACTTTGTCCGAGTTGTACATGGGTCTCTCCCAGGCCAGTAAGATGGCTGAGCTGGATACGGTGTCCGCACGGACATTTCTGGGCGCGCTCGGCCGGTTGTCCGACATTACTACGATCAGACGAGCCATGGCCAGAACTGAACCCTGCTCGTTCTCCGCCTGACACTGGTATATGCCGTCATCTTCAGGAATAATCTGGTTAATCACCAGTTTACTGCGAAAACAAACAATGTTTTTCATGATGAAAAAAACTCATTGATATACTGAGATCACACAAAACCTGTTAATACTGCATCTCAAACTCTAAAGTAAGAAAAACATTTTTTAGCAGTAGCATTTGTTGCACTGCCTTTTGAAAAATCACATGACTGAGAATGAGACTCACCATGGAGAATAATAAAAACTACTAAAAAACTAAAACATCAGGATGCATTACAGTAATGAGAATTTGGGAGAACGTGATTAATTTTCTTTATTTTATATAATAAGAAAATGAATATTATATTATATTATACTTTTATATGATGCAACATTAAAAATATGTTTTGTAACATGAATATTTATAGATGCAAGAAGTGAAAATAAACCTAGACACATATATTTAACATGCATGTTTAACATGTGTATGTTGAGGTGGAAATGAGCATGTCATTAGCACTAGTCCAAATCACTTCCCCTCCTTTTTGCTTTCAGGATCCCATGACAAACCCAGACAGGAAGACAAATTAGAGGAAAATCAGCTCAAACACCATTAGCAGAGCACTGAATAATTAACCCTCTCTTGTTCCACATAAGAAACCAGCTGATGAATATTTCAGCAGGACAGAGTTTCCAGCAGACGAATGAGCCAATTCAAACCCAGAGCGACATCAACGTCGGGCATCAGGTAGTGCTCAAAATATACACTTCAACTCAAATTCAAGACAAACAGAAACAAATGCAATGGACTCTACCTTTAAGGCAGCAGCATCTCTGTCAGAAAGCTTTACATTAAGATGGTTATGAATCTGAGGTGCATTAAACAATTCAAGCAGATGCAGCTATAAAAAAAGACTTCCAAGAGACACATTTATTGGTTCAGGCCATGCACGTTCTTGAATGCACTGATGTGTTTCACATGCCAGTACCTGTTATACATCTTGATGCGTCCGTTCGAGTGAACGGGTTCACCGTTCTTCAGCCATGTGATCTGAGGGGTCGGAAATCCCTCGGCCACACACGCGAAGCGGGCGGTACCGGCCCTCGGTCGGGTCACACTTTCCGGCCACTCCACGAGAGACGGTGGCGCTGCACAAAAATACACGCACAGATGCATTTATTAAATGCATGTATTTGTGAAATCTAAAGCAAATGTTTATTAATTAAGGCCACAAAACAGTAAAGGTAAAAGAGCATGCTCACAGGGTTTCTGCAGGTAGATTTAAGCCTTTTAGACTTTTTTTAAGAAGTACAAAAAAATTAAGGAATAAATTGAAGGGAACACAATATGTAAATATGGTATATACAGTAATTGTAAAGGTCTTATATTAGCAATGCTTCAAAGTTTGAAAATAGAAATTTGTACCAATCTCCATTACTTTTTCATTCATTTTACAAAAAAATAAAATAAAAATTAGTTTAAGGCTTGAATAGCTCTCCTCACATTTACTAGAATATGGAAATAATTTTTACTGTATCTTCTGATCACACTGCAAAAAGTAATGTCCTTCATCTATTTTTGTCTTGTTTTCCAGAGCAAATATCTAAAGATTTTTAAATCAAGAAACATTTTCTTGAGATGCAAAATGACTAGAATTAGATTAGAAGTAGTCTTGACTTCTGAGAAATTTCTGAGTTTATGATTAAAACGAGGACAAATATGTCAACATGCAATGTGACTTAATTCAAACAGAAACGTAATTTTCATTCCTTAATGAGAGATATTATTTCTTGTTTTAAGCATAAATTAAATTTTGTTCAGTTTCTCAGAAATCAAGACTTCATTTGTTCAGTTGGCATCTCAAGTAAAAGTAACTTGATTTCAGCATGTCTAAACATTTGTACTTGAAAACAGAAATGCTGAAAAATATATAAATTTTTTGCAGTGCATGCAACACCATTTAACTCAAAAATTTTTAAGACCCGCAGAAACCCTGTGCTCACTATAATGATTTTTTACTCTACCTAAAACAGTTATATTAGCGGCGGCAATCGTGTAGTTTCTGGTTCCTGGCGTAGTTGCGCGGCAAAAGTAGATTCCGGCGTGCTGGGGTTTCACGTCAGATATGAGCAGGTTTCCATTACCAAGAACCTTTGTTTTGTGAACGTCAATGGATTTATGGTCGGCGCGGCTCCATGAGATCAGCGGACGAGGATTTCCGGTCGCCATGCACTCCAGCAGAGCCGTGCTGTGAACCGCCACGGTCAGATTCTGTGGCCCGGCGATGATACGAGGCCTTTGAGGAACTCTGGGAGATGGAGCTATTGAGAAGCAAAAAAGAGAGGAAATGAAAATGATGCATATAAAATACTGTACTGTGCATAAAAACTACTCTTTAGGTGTTTATCTAACCTGCGGTCACGGTTAGCACGGCCTCGGAGCTCCTGCGTCGACTGGCGATATTAGTCGCCACACAGCGGTAACTCCCAGCATCGGCCGGTTCAACACCCTGAATTTGTAAAACGCCGCTGGGCAGCACTGTGATTCTGGATTGAGACATGCAATCATTCACTTAATACAATATACGATAAAATATGTAATGTTTATAATGTACAGAGTAATACGTCAAAAATAAATGTAACATTTGAAATGATTGTGGAACAAACATACTATATATGTATTATAATAAATTAAAGGCACAATATGTAAGATTTTTTTATTAAAATATCCAAAAACCACTAGAACAGTGTTATATATTTTGCTGACTTGTGTACTTACATTATCCCACATGTTTTGAAAAATGTTTAAATCCAGAAAAATAAGCAATTTTAACTAGTGACACGGACCGTTTCCATAGTGTCATTGTGTCGCCTGCCAATGACGTCATAACCCCTCGAATTCTCGAATTTTGTTTTGTAGAAAACATGGAAACACCAAAGACGCTGTAATACGTTATGCGTTTTATTAGACAGGTGACGACCGCACAGAGTAACAGAACTTTCAAATGTATCTAGTATGATAAAACAGCGCTGCTTTACCCCACATACGCACGACCGGAAGCAGCGGAAGCGGTCGACTGTGGCATAATAAAAGCTCCGCTGCTTTCGAGCCGTGTGTCGCGCTCGTCTCTCATTAACAATTGCTTCAGCGACCTCGTTTCGCTTTGACGGCTTTCAGCCTCACTCTGCTTCATACTATGACGTTAATAAATCTTTAATACATTAGCTCATCCATGAACATGATTTCTGCCCGAGTCTCGTGGGATTGCATCGGCTGTGGGGATGAAGACCACAACTCCCATGATTCCACACTCAGTCACGGCGTCATCAAACTATGCCTTTGTTTGTTTTGAATACGCGCCCTCTAGCGGTGAAAACTTACATACTGTGCCTTTAAATGACCAAAATAAAGTACGAGTAAGTGGTCAACACTAAGCCCCTCCTCCTGCTAGTAGGTGGGCGGAGCTGTACCTTTCAGTGGCCAGTGGTAAAGTGACTCTGTTAAACTCCCAGGTGATGACTGGAGGGGGCGTGGCCGTGATTTTACATGTGAATCGTGCAACGGTTCCCTCCATAACCGTGATTGATACTGGCTGCTGAGTGAAGGTGGATAAACCTGCGGAAAGATAACAAAATAGTCACCATCATCTATATGAGAGTCAACTTCTTTAGACTCTAAGAATCTCAGTAGCCACTGATTGAGCTGTGAATGGATAATGTCTTGTCTTAATGGCAAACCACAGGGGCATTAATAAGAGCAAGTAAATGATACTATTATAGTTTTTATTAATAGTTTTATTTTTATTTTCTGTTATTATTTTTTAATAACGTTTTAGCCATTTTTTTTGTTATATATGTCTACAGTTTCTTTTTTCAGTTTTAGTTTTAGTTATTTTAGTACATTTTTAACATGTTCAAATGCCAGTGATGTGTGAGAGAATCAAAATAAGACAAAACAGAAAGAAGAAGGAGCGAGAGAGGTTTGGTCGTAAGATGATCCAGCACACATACTCACACCGTCAGCAGAGATGAATGAGTCAAACTGAACCAAAAGCTTTAGATAAATACTAGCGGCAAACACCTCACGCTAGCATAACACCAACCTTTTGCTAACACTTCTCTGTGTGTGTGTGTGTGTGTGTGTGTGTGTTTCTCTCCAAACAAAACTCTTTTGCTTCTTACCTTCACGTGTTTCTCTCCAACAAAAACATTTGTGCTCTATTAGAAAGTCGTCATGTTTAGAGATATTTAAGTGTAGGGCTGTTCGATTATGGCAAAAAAAAAAATTACAATTATTACTCATTGACTTCAGAAACATCATGCATTTATTGAACTTTTTAACAAAATAAAAGAAAAACTTGATGAAAATTAAAGTCTTAAACTGTGTTTCCTTGAACTTAATTAATATATTAATATAATATATAATATAATAATTTTTTTTGTTATATATGTCTACAGTTTCTTTTTTCAGTTTTAGTTTTAGTTATTTTAGTACATCAAGTTAAACTAAATGAAAATGAGAAATGACATGTTTTGCTAAATTACATTTTTGTAAAATATTTTATTTCAAGTAGCACTTTTTTTAATGGTTTTAGTTTTAGTTAACTATAATAACCCTGGCTCCATTCCTTTAAAAAGACTCTTGTGGCTTTCTGAGTGATAATAATCAGTAAAAGCAAACACAGCTCACCATAAACGGCCTGTTTTAGGACTGAAAGGCATTAATGTTTGTTTAACGTGTCTCTTCAGTGAGGCCTTCACATCGGTGCTGCGCTCCAGCTCTGACCTTCTCAAGCTAACAGCCATA